CTCTATTTTCTTTATTGTTCACCACTAAATTTTCTTCCGCGCGCCAGTTAAAAAATCATATTGAATTATTGTCGACTTTTTTAGATGAAAGCCGTGAAAGCCAAATACGAAATTTAACTGAAAGGAAAATAAACCAAACTCACTTAATATAATTTCATTTGCTTATTTTTTTTATATAAGCTCGCTTGTTTACAGATAATTTTTCAGGGACAGTACTATCCATCCGGGTATCTTCCTCGGACGGGCACTATGGGTTGATAGTGTCTCTCCGCGGATGAACAATATCGCGTCACGTGATCAATTTAAACCAATAAGAATCGGCGAAAATTTAGTGAAGAACTATGATGGCTGATAGTGTACGAGTAGCTAAGCCAATCAGATTGCAGCATTTGCATTAGTATACCAGTAGAATTCTACTAGTCACTGTTAGTATAAATCCACTAGCGTTCTATCACGAATGCCGTTCTCTGATTGGCTACACTACTCACTATCTGTTCTGGGATAGATAGGGATCAGCGCGACAGTGTGCCCTTGTTTACAAAATGACGGCCGTTTCTTGACGTTGTCGAAGTGTCTGAGAAGAGGATTTAGGTTGCGCCCTCGTCAATTATCACGCGATAGAAATCTCGAGCTCATAATCTAATTGTTTAATAGAAAATCCTCACGGTTATAAATTATATTTGGGGGTGTTGATAGCCACGCTCTCGGTAATTGGTCGCAGGCAATCAACGAGCCCATTAACGTACGGCTTTACTTCAAATACCCCAGTTTATTCGTGTGTGGTTCGTTTTACATTTTTAGTGGTTCACATAAGTTGGTATAGATATCATATTTTATGAATATTATTCCAATATTTGACAATTCAAAGTTCTTGTAGAACATAAATTTGAATAAAATATTGTAACCTTTGCTTTTCTTAAAACAGTTTGGACAATATTCTTCAGGTTAATTTAGGCGTGCAAAAGATAACTACACGCTGAAGCAAATTTCAAAATACAAGATAACCAAGGGTAGAAAAAACCATAGAAGAAATGAAGTTTGCAGTTTTTAAGATACGCCACACTTGAACTAGCTGATCTAAAATCTCTTTAACAACTTGTAAAGTAACAAAACTCATCAGACTAGCCTAAATGAAATATCGGCACAAAAATAACCAAATATGTCTTGGCTAATGAATTCACTGTCTGCATAGCTTCTTTAGAAGCGTAAATAAATACGAAAATATATCTTTTCAATAGGTTTAATGCACGAACGTTTGGAGTAATGTAGAAGATTATTTTTGCGACATAAATCGATATCGACTTAACGATCTCGAGCACTACATTCAAAAATACACTCAGTTACTCCAAACACTCATAAATTATCCTTCACTACTTAATAAATCTTATATCCACTTACAGTATTTC